GAAGAGACTAAACTGGAAAGCAAAAATCACTGAAGAGAGTTGGGGTTTTTAGCTAAAACCAGGACAAAAGGGCATGTGTAGGTCTTCAGGGAACTTTCACATCTCCTCAGCTCTAAGTCCATGTCTGTCTTTAAAGAAGCTGTGAATATACTGTTCCTTCACATAGCCCACATGTAATATCAGGCACTTTGAGGGTTTCATTCCCATTGAATTTAGCAAATCCTAAGCAAGAAAGCTTGGAAGAGGCAGCAAGATGAAATCCTTGTGTCCTGTACCTCACACTGAAAAAGCTCTGTGAACTTTGTTGCTCACGTATTTTTGACCTCCCTGCCTTCCCTCCAGAGACCATGAGCAAGCACTGCCACAGAACTGTGCTCGCAGGAGCTGTCTGATGGCCCTCCCTGCCTTCTGCAGTTTTGCTCCCTTTCCTCACCCTCCCTATGCAGGAGAATTTTCTGATTCCCGATGAGAGCTTAGCAGGAAGAGTTGGATCTTTGCCTTGTGATTCCTGTCTGTTGGATATGGGGGAGGTATATACAGCTGTGGTTTTAGAAAGAGGGTGAGAACATCATCATACCAGCACTCTCTGCCTCCCAGGCAGTTTATCTCTTGCTAAGAAGCTTGTTTCCTCCTAACCTAAGACTTTCCATGCTTTGGAAATCTAATAGGGTAAACTGACTCTGTTGTGGGGTGAGAGAAGCCCATGGAAAGGATAGTGCTCTCCTGCCAAGGGTATTCAGTATCACAGGAGACAGGGTGGTAGTATGGCAGTTACACAACTTTTCACATTCCTTCTCATGCACCTTGATTCATAAAGTATTCCCCACACCATGGAAGTCCAGCCTGCAAGAAATTATTCCAAAACCTTGCTGTGGGACTGAATTAACTCTCTGGACAAGGCAGCAAAAAGGACTAAACAGCTCCAGCATGCTCTTCCTTTTACTTGGCACCTTGAGCTGGTTTTGCTCCCCATCTCCCTAGAGGAACTTCTCAGATATTCTCCATTGAGACCCTGCCTGCTGCCTTCCTCTGGCCTCGTTAAACTGCAATGAGACAGTCCCAGCCCCTCTGCTTGTTGTGGCAGGATGCGTGACTTTATCTCATCCGATAAAGTTGCCCAAGAACACTGTGTAAGTGCGTGTTTGACATCCTAAGTGCTCTCAGAACTCAGATGAAGAGCTGTCTGATTTCATGAGGTGCTAGAGGAGCACATTTGGTACCATAATGTACTAAGCATTAATGTTTTCTAATGTTCAGGAGCCTTGGGCTTCAAACTGAGTGAAACAGCACGATCTTGTTTTAGGAGCTGGCTGTCATATGTGACACCTCCCCTTGATTCTGGGAAGAAGCCATGGCTCCTCCTCATCTGAGGGTACCTTATTTTCAGGGGGGTGCACAAACAGGGCCTTCCTGTGAATTTATGTTCTTTGGATGCTGTGACTGGATTTATCCGTTTAGAGAAACACAATATAGCTTTGTGTGACATGGTGAGCTCTGCGTGCAAAGCCAATGAGGAATTCCTCATTGCGCTTGAATTTCATTTCTAGTGAATGCTTGACTGAATCCCAGAGAAGCGACATCAGCTTCTGACTTTTGATCAAACTCCATCAAATTCTATTATTCTATGATTCTAAAGTCTCAACAACCCT